TAACGGAGCATATTTGTTAAGAATTTGGAGAAACGTGTACCTGAAGGTCTCCCAAGCCGTAGTCAGGTTGGGGATATCACAGACCTTGTCAATATCCGAGTGAAGCACATAATTAGTAAATGCCTGTATGCTGAAGTGTCTCATGGAGTGCTTCTCAACCAATTTAGGGGGGTCTTTGGGTCTGGCTGATGATCTCACAGCAAATATGAAGGAGTGATCGCTAAGGTTATTACCCAGAACACCAGTCAGTGTGAAATTGTGAGGGGCATTTGTCAATAGGACGTCAAGCAGAGATGACTGCCCCGGAATTTTTAGGTTGGGTCTTGTGGGGACATTTATTAATTGAAATAGGTTAAATTAATCTGCAAAATTTGTGGCCACGGCCGGCAGGTTTAGCCAATTCCAATTCATATCACCCACTAAAACTATTTAACCTTTAAGGAGGCCCCCAAGAAGCTCTCTCCGTGCAGCCGCAGCTTCAACGTCCTTACCACTAGGCGGTCTATAGCAGCACACTACCAATATCTGTTGATTATTTGGGAGAGTTATTCTGAGAGCCAAACCTTCAAAGCAACATTTTTTTAAACAAGGAGTGAGCTGGTGAACATGCAATAGTATTACAAACATAGATGGCAATTCCATCTCCTTTAGACCCTCGGTCAAGCCAAAAAAGGTTGTAGTTGTCAATCGTAATCTGCAAGTCATTTATAGCAGGAGTGAGAAATGTTTCTGTAAGGCAAAAAATGTCCAGATCCAGATTAGCCACTTCTAGTTTTAGTTGACTTAATTTAATCACAAGGCCTCTGATTTTTTTTATTTAAAGCTTTCGTGACTGCAGGGATTCATATTCTTGGTTCTTTCGGTAAAGTCACGTAGAAGAGAAACAATATATTTTACGAGTTCTTTACATTTGGGCCAGGATGAAGCTCAATACCTCCCAGAAATAAGAAAAGTAGAATTAATAGTTTGCACAGGTATTTTCTGTGAAAGGATGAAGAGCGGCGAACCTTGGACGAATAGCAGCAGCTCGCAGATGGCGATATTTTTAAGAGCAGAATGAAGTTTGGAAGGAGTGCTGGTGAAGTAATGGGAGAGAGACACTGTAGGGTTTAAAAGGATACAATGATTGAGTGCAGATGTATCTATAAGCTGTTTCATTAGCAGGTCTAGTGGCAAATTGAGCAACAAGTATGGACGAGAAGTAACGAGGGTTCCTGGTGGTAGAGTTAAGTGTGGCACTAGATATGGCCGGGAGGGACAGTAAGAGGATACACAGCAGGAGAACTGCCACCTTTAAATTATCAAGGGTGCACACGTTTAACACACAAGCGAAACAAAAATACTTGTAGGCCGAGCGCGAGAAACGTCTTGCGAGAAGGCGCTTGCCCCAACAGTATGTCAAGGCTATACGAGGGATCTTTGTCTTTGTTGTATCAGAAAGCACTTGCTCCAACAGTCTGACAAGGCTATACAGTAATACGGGGGAATTTTGTTGTCTCAGAAGGCACTTGCCCCAACAGTCTGTCAAGGCTATACAGGGATATTTGTCTTTGTTGTCTCAGAAAGAACTTGCTACAACAGTGTGTCAAGGCTATACGAGGAATCTTTGTGTTTGTTGTCTCAGAAGGCACTTGCCTCAACAGTGTGTGAAGGATATATGGGGGATCTTTGCCTTTGTTATCTAAGAAGGCACTTGCCCCAACAGTGTGTCAAGGCTATATGGGGGAATAGCCCTTCTTCATAGCACCTAATTGATCTGCACATATGAACCTTGTGGCGGACCCCGGGGTACCATAGTGCCCCGGCTCTCGCATAATATCCATGATGCAGTCATTTTTAGTCTGTTGATGGTCGGCGATGCGGCAATCGAGTCATCTCGACGAGCTGTACACTATGCACCAAGGCCATAGCCATGGAGTCAACATTGGGGGGGACCAAATCTTCCAGGGTGTCTAGGGAACCCCCCCAGAAAAAAAATCTAAATTTGAAAACCAATTTTCTGCCTAAAATATGAAAAAATTCACTAATAGAATGATTTTTTTTTCAATAATGTCTAATAGTGTATTGTATTACATTGCTCTGTTTTTACTTTTTTACCTTTTCTTGTTTCATTGTATGTAATGGCAGAGATTAGGGATTAATAAAGTACAACCATAACCACAATCATATAAACAGAAATCTATTTTATAGCAATACTAGCGGGAAGTACCCGGCATTGTCCGGGCGAAAAAGGCAGACACACACATGGACTTACACACAGACATCGACCCACACACATAGAAACACATCGACTTAGACGCACACTCACATACATATGGTTAAACCCAGGGTGGATCGTTAGCAGGCCAGCCTAAATGTTTCCAACCGGCGAATATATTCCATTAGGTGGGTGCACGTTTCGCAAGCATACAGAAGGTAGGGAATTACCGTGGCCGAGAAGACCTGGAGCTTCATGCGGAGCAAGAGACCAGGTAGCTTCCACTCAGCGTAACGCAGCCGATGAAAAGATAATGGCGCTCAACTGATTTGGAGTGAGACCTCTGGTGTTAAACCGGAGCTGGTTATGAGCACTTTGGCCAGGTATGGGAATCTCTCCAATCTCTCCACAACTGCCGCATCAGAAATTGTGAGTTGTGGGGGTGGATTGTCCGATGGTACAAAATACCCAGCCAGGTGCTTAGATTTGATGGGGCTGATGGTAAGGCCCCACCTCTTAGTGCCAAGCTCCAGGTTCAGCAACAGTGCCTCCAAGTCCTCCTCTGAGTGAGCAGGATTCACCAGAGCATTGGCATACATTACATGGTTGATCAATAGGGAGCCATCCCTTGACCGTACCCGGGCATCGATCAGCCTCCCATTGTATATGTACCATATGGTAATTCCTCCGGTACAGCCATTTAAGTCTTCACGAACTACGTGGTCAAAATATATGTTAAATAATGTGGGAGCCAGAGGACATCCCTGTCGCACCCACACTAAAAAAAATGATAATTGGTAGTTAATGGCCCAAAAAATGTAATTGTTTAAATTAAATAATGCTCTTACGTTTGTGCATAAAATTAAAACAGTTGTGTTGACAAAATTAGAAAAAGTGATATTTCCCATTTACACAGCTCACTTGTGTTAAATGAATGAAATGCATGTGTTGCTTCTGCAATACCGCACTTTGGTCAGCAGGTGGAGCTATATCTGCACATGTGCAGATGGAAAGCACATCCAACGATCAACTTTGATCCTTCAGCTCACTCAAATTCCCTCATCGCCATTTTGTGCAGTCAAATGCAACATTTCACAATCAACGTTTTGTCTTTGTGGACACAGAGGTGAGGTATTTTACTTTTTATGCATTTATATAGGCTAGAGGCTGTCAATAGATGGTTTAACGCGGATATCATGTTTTGTATGGTATTTTAATGAAGTTGCCGCATTTCTCGTGTGGTTTTCGCATTTTGTTAGTTAGGCCTATAACGTTACATTCGTGTGTTTCGATCTTATGTAATATATATACTTGTTGAACTTTGATGTGAATTTCCCCACACAAAGACACAAATTACTTATTAAATTGCTAGTTAATAAGAGTTTCTCCATTTCTGTGTTAACGGATTGTTGTGTGTGATGTTACTGTATAAAGCAAAGCACTTTTTCACATTTTAGTAATGTTATCAGTTTTAATAACTGTCTCAAATAATGGTGTTGAGCATTTTTATTTAATGTCAAATGTTAACACTCAAACTTTGGAAGACCCAAATAACAGCTATAAACACATTTGACACATGAATAAGATGGCATTGATGTTAGCTAACAAGTAATGTAAGCTTGGCGGTTAGGCCTAATCTAAAGTGTAAACTATTTATCAAGGATATATACAGATTTTCACTGTATAGCATACCTCTTATTAATAATTTATGAACCTATTAACTAATAATTTATAAATGACTTATATCTGAATTAACAAAACAATAAAACATTTAGCATATCACTTATTAGTCATTTATAAATGTGTAAAGGAGTTCCCGACGACTCACTCGGAGGCTAAGGTAAGGTAAGGGCTTCCGCCAAGGTTTTATTACAAATCTTTAACAATACACAGGGGTGAACAACTCCCCAGGGGTTAGGGGTCCCGGGCTAGGTCCCGACATAGCCGGCTGACCTCTGCTGTCTCCTCTGCCCCGGCCGTCGGATCAACCAACACGGCCGACCGAGGAGCACAGCCACGTTGGTTTTGAAAGGCTCCTCAAGATCACTTTACCCTACATTGCGGGGATCACAAAAAAGATCTCCAAAATCTTGAATAAACACAAGATTCTGGTCCGTTTCAACACATTACATAAAATCAGTGATCTGGTTCCGTCTGTAAAAGATGTGATTCCGGACATACAATACCCTGGTGTCTACAAACTAAGTTGCCTCTGTGGTAGTAGTTACATTGGAGAAACCAAACGCCATGTCTCGGACCGCATTCGTGAACACAAAGCAGACCTTAAACACGGTAGGACCAACACCTCGGCCGTTGCAGATCATTGTTCTAATTCAGTAGGCTCACATGCCATTGACTTTTCCAAGACAGAGGTTCTTTGTAAGCCATCTGGCTTCCATGAGATTCGTTCATGAGGCTATCCACATATACAAGCACAGAGACAATTTCAACCGAGAAGATGGATTCTATCTTAGCAATCATTGGAAAGATTTGATAAACCATTTCAGGTCTTAATTGATTGTTCACGCTTACAGTGGCTTTCAGACAGCATACATTATAAAAAATTTCGTCTCCCCCCTCCTCTTTTCAGAATATAGATGGACTAGTCCTGGGCAAACTGCCAAATCGTTGCGCGTGGCGCTAACGTTTTTATAAATAAATAAATAAATGCGCCGTTTAAAAATAAATTTATGCAAACCAACACACCTGAAGATGACCGTTTGAGTTATGGTCGAAACGTCGTGAGAATTTTTTTATTGTTTTATATATATTTTATTATTTTGTTGTTTCCCTTCTACGTGACTTTACCGAAAAAACTAAGAATATGAATTACTGCAGTCACGAAAGCTTTAAATAAAAATGTTACAGTGTTGTTTATATTATTATTCTTTGGTGACTTACATATTTTTTTCTAGAGTCCTACATGTGGCTGTGCAGAGATTGTGGCTCGTCTCACATATCTAGATCAAAACTTTTAAAACACTTTAGGTTCGTACATGGACAATATGGCCGCAGACACGCATATCCATGCGCATATTCTTACTATCCATGCACTTTTAAAACCTGGAATGCACTGCGGTCCCACTTATGCAGATCACATGGTAGTGAGCAGCAACCTCAAAAGCAAAATTCTAGCGAAAGTACAAAGATAAATTGTCATGTTTGTGGTGTTACTGACATTCCTTCAGTAAATGATTACTTTCTCCACATAAATAAGCATTTGCACAGTCATGAGACAGTAAGTTGTATGTTTAAGGACTGCTCGTTTAAATCAAATGTGTATAGCACATTCAAATCACATAAGAGGCGAAAACATTGTCAGTGTTCGTTGACTGATTTTAAGGAAGGAATAGTGAAAACACAAGAGGTAAGAGGAATATCTGATGACACTCTTTCAAACGAAGAAATCAATACATCTATGTTAGAGGAGGATTCCAGTTGTATTGATACAGGAGAGGTTCCAGAGAACTTACCAAAGTTGCTAGAGCTTAAATTTGCTTCTTTGCTGTTGAAGCTGGAGAATCACTATCATGTCCCAGGCACAGCTGTCGATGAGTTGTTGGAGGACTTGCATTATTTACTGAGTGATGCTTCTTTCCCTTTGTCATACAGAATTATTGTAGACACCTTACAAAAGCACAGGATTGACAATGATGAGTTTCTAGTCAAAGACCTTGTTACATCTTTAAGTACAACAAATCCTTTACTCACTGCAATAAAGCATGGTGGTCCACTAGCCTCTGCATTTAAGCGTAAAGAATATTACAGGGAAAATTTTAAAGTTGTAGACTCCGTGGAGTATGTTCTTGAGGCCAAGGGAAACAGAACTTTTCAATATGTTCCAATACTTGAGTCTTTACAGAATCTACTTGGTCAAAATGACCTACTAGACAAAGTGGTCGAAAGTCACAGTTCTCAACAGTTAAGAAGAGATGTCCATCAGTACAGGTCAATTCAGGATGGTCAGTTTTTTAAAGCAAATTATTTCTTCTCAGATGAGTTGAGGATATCTGTGTGCTTATATGTCGATGACTTTGAAATTTGCAACGCTCTCGGGACATCAAGAAAGAAGCACAAGATATGTGCACTCTACTGGATTTTGGGTAATGTGCCATCCATGTTTCAGTCAACTTTGTCTTCAATTTATCTTGCCGTTTTGTGCAAAACAGAAGACGTGATAACATACGGATTTGAGAAAATCTTGCGACTTCTTTTGCAAGATCTCCAAACTTTGGAACAGCAAGGTGTTTTTGTCCACCAGCTGGGAACATTCCTTAAAGGAACAGTTCAATGTGTTGTGGCCGATAATCTTGCTGCACATTCAATGGCTGGCTTCATTGAGAACTTTTCAGGAGAGTACTGTTGTCGATTTTGTACAGCTTCTCGTGCAGATTCTCAGATCAATGAAGTGAAGGCAGGTGAATCTAAACTAAGGACTGCAGAAGAACACCAGGGACATGTGAAACTTGCAAAGGAGAAAGGTGTGAATGTCATGGCTGTGAAAAAAGCATGTGTTTTCAGTGACAGCCTTAGCTACTTTAATGTTACAACAGGCTATCCTGATTTGGCTCATGATCTTTTTGAAAGCAAAGTACCAGTTGAGCTGGCAGAGTGCTTTTCTGTACTTATTTCAAATAAGATCTTGTCTCTTGATCTGCTCAATGAACTCATCCATAATTTTCCGTACAAGTGGGGTGATAAGACAAATCGACCTCAATTGGTGCCACAGACATTTGCAAGGAGAAAATCAGTTGGTGGCAATGCGCATGAAAATTGGTGCCTGTTAAAACTGCTGCCATTTATTATTGGGCATTTGGTGCCTGCAGATGAACCTGTGTGGCATATGATTTTAGACTTGAAGGATATTGTGGAACTGGTTGTGTCTTCAGTTCATACAGATGAGACCATTGCATATTTGGAATGCAAGATCTCTGAACACCGTCAGAAGTATCAGGAGCTTTTCCCACTTAAACAGCTGCTTCCAAAGCATCACTTTTTGGAGCACTATCCAGAAATGGTTCGCTGCTTTGGTCCTTTAGTTTTTCTTTGGACATTGCGTTTTGAAGCTAAGCATAGCTACTTCAAACAAGTAGTTAGGCACACAAATTGCTTCAAGAACATAACACTAACTTTGGCAAGAAAACACCAATTGATGGTTGGATATAACCTCCACATACCCAGCCCTGAAAAGACCACCTTACAGGTCAGACGTGTCTCTACCATCACGGTTGAGGTCATGAAAGAGGATATCGTACGTTGCCTTAATTCTAGATATCCTGGCATCACCACTGTCAATTTTGCTAAGATTATGATAGCATAATGTATCGAATTGCCCATGGGTCTCTTGGTGGACTTCCAGAATTTGCAGAAATTGCTCAAATTTGTATAATCGAAGACAACCTTGCCTTCATTGCCAAAAAAAATGTGTTCATGGTATCAAGAGCACTTCAGGGCGTTTGAATTGGTACCAACTCTTGAAATGTGCTTAATTACCCTCAATGAGTTGAAAGACCCATACCCTCTTGCAGATTATAAGGTTGGCGGTGTCCGAATAATTACCCTAAAATGACACGTACTAATAGATGAGGTGTAATAACCAGCCACTGAAGTCCTGTGTGGACTTGTATATTTTATGTATATTTCATTTTATAGTAAACATCTATTTAATGTCAATAGTTTGGATTGGTCTTCTGGTATTGTAGTCATATATTCATCCCCTCTATCTCTCTTTCAGAAAAGTTTGACAGGATGGGTACCCCAGCCAAACTTCTAGTAATCTTGTGAGAAAATAATTGTGAAAGGTTAAATCTCCCAACTGGTATACCAAACTCGTTGAATGACCTTAAAAGAGAAATCCAAACACAACTGAGAGTACTTGAAGATTTTGGACTTCAATTCAAAGATCCGGACTTTAATGATTTTATCAACCTCACTTCAACTTCAGACATACAGGATAAAGCTACACTCAAGGTCATTCAGTTGCCTTCATCTACAAGTTCCCCAACTACTTCATCTGTGCCAGAAATAAATGAGACCTCTTCAATATCATCCTGTGACACAGACATAATCTCATACTCACAGTCATCTTTACTTTCAACTCCAGAATCTGTGTCTTCAGACGGAAGTCAGGCATGGCCTGAACGTTTCCCAATACCACAGTTAAGTTTTGATGCTGAGATTCAACTGCAAAAAACTCAACTTGCTTATCAGACTGATGGTACTGTCCTGAGCCCCAATGCCAAACTGAAGTCTGATATTTTGGATGCTTTAGCTTCAGAAATAATAAAGTACAAGGCATACCCTACAAGTGCAGATCTTGATGTTGCTGCTGCTTTGGTACAGAAGCACCCATGCCTCAAAGAAAAAGGCTCTGTGAGCGGCTACTATGGCTGGAAAATAAGTCTGAAATATAAGATGGCAAACTACAGAACAAAATTGAGGAACATAGGATGTTCTGAGTTAAATATCAACTCCCACAAGCGAAAAGGATCCATGGGAAGTCCCAACCAAGTGAAGAAACCTAGAAAAGCCGAGGTTAATTACTGTCCAGATTACCCATTGGGTGAAACAAAGGATACGCTTGAAAAGCAAAGGATGACACTACTGTCTGAGGTGACTAAAAGAAACAATGAGCAGGTTATCAAGGTCCTGATGGAGAGAACATTTGCGCTTCGGAGGCATGAGGTGGTAGAAGATTTGCCGTTCATCGTTGAGTTTAGGAACAGATGGCCAGCACTCTTTACTGAGAGAGAGGTAAGTCTTTGATGTAATGTCAGTTATGATTAAATACTTGGATGGTTTATATAATTCAAAAATATGAAAATGTTCATTTGTAATTTTGTATGTCATCTGTAAGTGCTGGTAAAAAAAAATGTTCAATGTTTTTTAAACATGTTTATCAGCAGCCAACATTATTTGTCCTTTCAAAATTGTATTAGGTATCTGCAGAATTCAGTAGGATTACAACTATCCCTTTCGTGTCCAAATTTATGGGTCAGCTGGATATTTTCTCAACCCAGCTCCTCAGAATCTTCAGAAAGAAAGGAGGAACAGCAACACAGAAGATGACAAACATCCTGTCAGTTATGGATCGGGTATGTTCTCTAAATTCATCATAATTTTAAATCTGACAATAATTAATAATATATTAAAAGAATATATAACCCAAAGATGGAAATTCAGTCATTATGTATAGCCTCATGTTATCGAGGGGGTTAATTTTTGGGTTAAGTATCCCTTTAAAGTCTGGTATATACAGTACTCTGCAAAAGTCTTAGGCATGTTAATATTTTCACCCAAAGAAGAAATGGTTTTAAGCCAGTTATTTAAATCTTTTACTGCAGTGTGTCAGTACGAAATATTTTACATTTCCAAACATTCCTTTTGCTATTAATTGTAATAATCCAGTGACATTTTTTATATGCACAAGGAGTCTGACAATAGCCAGTATGATCCACACAGAGATTCGATCTCATCATCATCAAGTCTATCTGTGATTACATGAAGAAACAGAAAAACTGAGAAAGATTAAATCCAGAAGAACTGCGTCAACATCTCCAAGACACCTGAAGAAACCTTCCTGCGAAGCTACAGTACTTTTTCTACTGCTTTAAAACACAATGCCATAAATAGATTTTATTTACTTAACTTCTATTAACTACATAAAATCAATACTCGGTGTGACCAGCCTTTGCGTTTAAAAAAGCTTTTGTCCAGGTACACTTGCTCATAGTTTTTCAGGTAGCTTTGCAGGAAGGTTTATTCAGGTGTCTTGGAGATGTTGATGCAGTTCTTCTGGATTTAATCTTTCTCAGTTTTTCTGTTTCTTCATGTAATCACAAGAATGACAAACTTGACTTGAATGAAAACAACAGAGTGGGATAATCTGTATAATGCTACTTATAATGGGGCAATAACAAGTCTAAAAAGCAAAGTGCTAACTAATGCTAATTTCAAATTTTTCAGAATGACACCATCGAAAAAAACCGTGAATGCATCTTGAAAGCCCTTACTGTTTACATGAACGAAGACCCCTCAAACCTTGTGAAGGGGTACTTGGTAAGTTGTTTACTTTTGTTTAAAACCTATTGTATGTTTCTTTAAAACCAACTCCCACTTTCACCCCTGATCTGTTATTAATTGTTTCTATTTGTATTTTACTTTTTTAGGACGTTGAACATGATGAAGCCCAAACTTCAATGCGCAACACCACCCTCGGCATTTATGTCGTCGTACATGAAGGGGCAGATGCTACAGACCCTTACGAAGATGTTGGCATTATCATTGAAGGCGTCCAAATACTTGAAGACCATGTGGCAAATGCTTGTTCTGTGATGCTTGGTCTAATTTACACTTTAAACTTGGCTTACCCACAAGACCTGAGGTACACTTTTGAAGTATTTCAAAAGATTTTCATGGAGCTAGATGCAAACAAGCTGTTAAACAAGGTCCAGGTCCTGAAAAATAAACTCCTTTCGTAAACGCTGTAACTTGAGGTCAGGACCAAGGCCCAGGACTTATGTTTTTTCATAATGTTGCACTGTTGTTTGGCTGTTGCAGTACATATTTATGTACATAATACTGTTTTTTATTTATTTAGTTTATTTTTGTTCTTGTGCAATTAAAAGGAAGCAAAAGAAGACTGCTATTATTTTTCAAGTATAACACTTGTATGTGAATATTTTATTAATCCTTTAATTTAAAGACAGTATGCGTTTATTTATTTTTATTTTCTTGTAATAAGCAGATTCTTTTCATTTTGAAAAGTAAAGTTAGTCTTTTGAGATTACAGATTTTGTACAAGTTATTATTTTTGGAAAAATGTGTAAAGTAGGTGCCTTTGATTTTGAAAAGTAAAGTTAGTTTTTTTAGATTACAGATTTTGTGCAAGTTATTCTTGTAATTTTTTTTGTGAAAGTTTTCAGAATTGTTATTGAATGGATTCAATAAAAAAACTGGAACAGAATGAAAATTGATTATTTATTTTGGATGAATTTAAAAGTATTAATTTTAGGATAATTGTAGTTAATTAACTGTATTGTTTAAAACAAAAACAAGACTGTTAAGTTGATTCAACTAAACAACATTGCATTTACCTTAAGTAATTCACTCAAATAAATAAATAAATAATGCTGCTTAAATGCAACATAACCCAGTTGTGTGCATCCTGTTGACATAAAAAAGTTAAGTTAGTCCAACATATCATTTTTTTAGTGCATAGGTGTAGAGGGAATGGCTCTGACTGACAGCCACGTAGTTTGACGCGGGGCCGCTCACCATCATGAAGGTCCTCAAGAATCGTAAGCAAAGGGTGAGGGACTCCGAAAGTATGAAGAACAACCCAGAGGCCAGGCCTACTGATGGTATCATAGGCCAGGGGTCGGGAACCTATGGCTCGCGAGCCAGATGTGGCTCTTTTGATGATTGCATATGGCTCGCAGATAAAACAAAATATTCTCACTTGTTTTAATCCATCCATCGATTTTTCACTGCGCATGTCCTGTTCAGGGCTGCAGGAGCAATTGTCCATTATTTTAATTGGATGATACTGGCCTACGTTTGCCGTTGCTGGGTAAAACAGGTAAACGCCCCCTTTTGAATCAGTCTGAGACTGCGTCTGCTCGGTCATTAGCTCAAAGCTAACCCTTCGACGAAGAAGATGGCGAAAAGAAAAAAAGACGACGAGTATCGTACATTTCAGGACGAATGGACCGAAGAATTCGCCTTTGTGGAGAGAGCGGGTTCTGCGGTGTGTCTAATTTGCAATGACAAAATTACATCGTTGAAACGGTCGAATGTAAAGCGGCACTTCGACACGCGCCACGCTACCTTTGCATCAAAATACCCTGCGGGAGACAGCAGAAAGAAAGCGTGCCAAGAGCTTCTGAGCAGGGTGCAAGCTAGCCAGCAGCAACTCCGCGTATGGACCCGGCAAGGTGACTATAATTCGGCTAGCTTTGCTGGTTCTTTAGCAATAGTGAGGAACGGAAAACCATTCACAGATGGCGAGTATGCTAAAACGTTCATGCTGGATGTAGCCAATGAACTTTTTGATGATCTTCCGAACAAAGACAAGATAATCAAACGGATACAAGACATGCCTCTGTCGGCAAGAACTGTTCATGATCGTACCATCGTGATGGCAAACAAAGTGGAGGAAACGCAAGTGAAGGACATAAATGCAGCGCCGTTCTTTTCTCTGGCTTTGGATGAGTCAACAGACGTGAGCCATTTGTCGCAGTTCAGCGTGATTGCAAGATATGCTGTTGGTGACACACTGCGCGAAGAAAGTCTTGCTGTTCTGCCATTAAAAGGGTCCACAAGAGGTGAGGATTTATTCAAGTCTTTCATGGAGTTTGCTCAAGAAAAAAGTCTACCTATGGATAAACTTCTCTCAGTGTGTACTGATGGTGCTCCGTGTATGGTGGGGAAAAACAAAGGATTTGTGGCACTTCTCCGTGAACATGAAAATAGACCCATCCTAAGTTTCCATTGCATTATACACCAGGAGGCACTTTGTGCTCAGATGTGTGACAGGCAGTTTGGCGAAGTGATGTCGCTGGTCATTCGTGTGATCAACTTTATTGTTGCCCGAGCCTTAAATGATCGCCAGTTTAAAACACTGCTGGATGAAGTTGTAAATAACTATCCTGGTCTGCTTTTGCACAGCAATGTGCGTTGGTTGTCAAGAGGGAAGGTGCTTAGCCGTTTTGCGGCTTGCCTGAACGAAATCCGGACTTTCCTTGAAATGAAAGGCGTCGGGCATCCTGAGCTAGCCGACACCGAGTGGCTCCTCAAGTTTTACTATCTCGTAGATCTGACTGAACATCTGAACCAGCTCAACGTGAAAATGCAAGGCATTGGAAATACAGTGTTATCCCTTCAACAAGCTGTATTTGCTTTTGAAAACAAGCTGGAGCTTTTCATCACGGATCTTGAAACAGGTCGTTTACTACATTTTGAAAAACTGAGCCAATTTAAAGATGCATGCACAGCAAGTGAGCCCATTCAAAACCTTGATCTCCACCAGCTAGCTGGCTGCACATCCAGTCTCCTACAGTCCTTCAAAGCACGCTTTGGAGAATTTCGTGAGCACACTCGTCTTTTTAAGTTCATCACCCATCCAAACGAGTGTTCACTGAACACAGCCGACCTGAATTACATCCCTGGTGTCTCCGTCAGAGATTTTGAAGCAGAAGTGGCTGACCTGAAGGCCTCAGACATGTGGGTGAATAAGTTCAAGTCACTGAATGAAGATTTGGAAAGAATCACACGACAGAAAGCGGAGTTGGCGAGCAAGCACATGTGGACAGAAATGAAAAAAACTCCAACCCGAAGACCAGCTGATTCTCAAAACTTGGAACGCGCTTCCTGTCACATACCACACACTGCAGCGTGTGAGTATTGCTGTATTGACCATGTTTGGATCTACGTATGCATGTGAGCAGTCATTCTCACATCTTAAAAACATCAAGTCCAACCTACGATCACGTTTAACGGATGAAAGCCTCAACGCTTGCATGAAGCTTAACCTCACCAAGTACCAACCCGACTACAAAGACATCAGCAAATCCATGCAGCACCAGAAGTCGCATTAATGGTGAGTGTTATAACAACATTATTTAAAAGAATAAATTCAGAGGCTTATTATACTGACATTTAGTTGAATTCACTTTTAAAATATATTATATGGCTCTCACTGAAATAAATTTCCAAATTTTTTGCTTTCATGGCTCTCTTAGTCAAAAAGGTTCCCGACCCCTGTCATAGGCCTTGACGAGGTCAATAAAGCACACACATTCACTCACACGCACACATGGACCTACAGACACGCAAAGAAATGGACTTACACGGACTCACATGGAGTCACGGACACAAAGCGACTAACACATACGCCCATGGACTGACACACACAGACATATCGACTCGCACACACAAACACATGGACTTGCACACACACACACATATGGACTCACACACGCATACACATCCACTTTAAATACACACACATGGAGTTACACACACATATATGGACGTAGACACATACAGCGACACACACACATCGACTCACACACAGATATATGTGGACTCACAGACAGATTGACGTAAACACACATATGTACTTACACACACACATATCGACTAAGACACACATATGGACTTACACACACATACATAGACTGACACACACATTGCCCTACACACATACACATATGGACTGTGTCACACAGACATCTACTTTAGATACACACACATGGATTAACACACACATATCGACTCACACACACGCATTGACTTACACACATCGAGTGACACACACACACATGTATGGACTTACACACACGTGGACTAACACACACATGGATTAACACACACACACATCGACGTACACACATACATGGACTCAAACACAGACACATCGAGTCGTACACACACACACATCGACGTGCACAGCAATCCCCGATGATGGCACAGCTCTCAGTATCGCAGTACTCCGTATGAGTAAATAGCGTGACATGAGCAATGGAAACAATGGAAATGCATTGAAGAAATAAGCAGAAAGCAGTGTATTAGGTATCAGTGTAAATTACAGGTAAGTTGAGAAGCAGGCTACAGTTTAGATTATAGCCTGCCAGTACGCCGACTCAATGACATAAGCATTGCTACAGTCGACATAAAAAGCTGCCAATACAGGCAGCAGCTGAAAAAGCAGAATACAGTCGACATGAAAGGATGGGAGTACACTGAGTGAGGTAAAGAAGCAGGCAACAGATTATAGACTGGCATACACTCATAATGGTCAAAAGGAAAATTAGCAGTGTAGATAATAGAGTGGCAGTGCACTGACGTTAATTAATCAGCAGGCAGCAGACCACATGACAGACTGGCAATACACCGTCGCAGCGTTATAAAAGCACAGCTAAAAAGGGGAATATTTATCAAGCTAATAATGAAAATTTTGTTTTGTGCACACAAACATCATTGTAATATCTGGCAACGTATTTGTTTAATAATAGTAAACAATGAACCTGAGTTATTAGCGTAAGAAGCAAGGAAATTTGTATTTACCATAGGCTCGGTCAGGCCTATGCCAGTACGGAGCCCCCGTCCTGGCCTACATTGCCGAGGTGGGGCAGGTAGCACGTTGGCAGGCTGGGCCACTACCCTCACACCCACCCCTCCGCCCGTGCAATAATAATGGTATTTTCGCACTATATTATCTACGGACTCTGTTGTAGAAACTGGACGTGCTTTTTTTCGGGGGGGGGGGGTCGAAGAGGACATGAGACTGTGAAGAAAAATTCGAAGCGTGATGTGTATATTTATTGCATGTTTAACGCGTAAAATGAAATGTCCCCCTTGAGCTCGACCGAACGCGCATCACTTGGCAAGATCCGCCCCCCCCCCACGCAATTGTCGTCAGTTGGTATGGTCGATGTCACGCAATAAGTAAATAATTAAAATAAGAATGTCACAAATTTGTTAATTAAACTACTTTAAAGTTTAGGGATGCAAAAACGGAATAGCCTATTCCCACCCTGGGACTTAGGGCATCGCCCGGGTCAAAAAAATATTTTAGAACTGCTCTTAAAAACCTTACATATACATACACAGATACTAAGGTATTGTGAAAGCCCGGTGGACCATTTGTCCATTTCACCACCAACAAAATTATAAGAGGCTTGCACAAGTCCAAAAAGTAATAGAAGTGTGGGGTAAATAGTTGCTCTGAAAAGTTTCCAAAAATTGTGGACACCCCCCCCTCAAAAAATATATGTACCCCCGCGTAGGTATCTATACCTACACACCCTACATACAACAGAGTAAG